AATGACCTGGTCATTATTTGATGACTCGAGGTCATTAGTCATTTGAGCAAATGACCTAGTCATTTACCATCACTGATCTCTATAACATATTGGAAATCAATATTACAAATAAAATTATATGTGTATCTGATGACTTTCAGTCCTAGTTAAAAATAAAACCGGTATTATACCTAAAAATAAAATAAAATAAAAAATAAAACAAAAAGAAAATTTGAGATGCTATATATTGATATTTTATTTAAAATCTTTAAAAATTAAACAGGTTCATCAAAATCGAGATCTTGCTAAAGATTTGAGCTTTTAACATCTGTGAGAACTTGACCTGCAAGAGTTTTTAAATGAGAATCATTCGTTCGAATTTGATCTCCCATTCCTGTTTAAGTAAAAAAAAAAAAACAAAAAAGATGATAAAATTATATAAACAAAATTTTAAAGAAATATTGCATGCCAGAATCCTCATAAACTCCGATTAGTCTCAATCTCTTTTCGAACGGTGTATTAGTTTCATCAGTTCTATCTTTAGAAACAGCAAATGAAGTGTCAAATACTGTATATGATTTTGAACTTTTAATACATCATCTTTAATATCGCTAACACCTTCATTGTACTTCCAATATCATATTCTTTCCTGATCATTTTCTTTCCTGATCATTTTGACTTCTTTGATGGGAATTCAGTGTCTCGATATAAAATAATGTAGTTTTCGGTAGTAGAGGTTCATGAATTTACTAGATTCTCTTTTTTTTGAACTTCTGAAGCTGTATATGCTGCCTTTTATTTCACAAAAAAAAAAAAAAAAAAGGATATTAATTTAATGTAATTATATATATGTTCATAAAATTACAACCCGGGATATTATTCTGCATTATCATTGAAATTTCGTAAAAATGATGTGCTTCATTATAAACGTATGACGATAAATCAGAGACGGAGCCATTAAGATCCGGAGTCGGATATTAAATAAAGTAGCCACCTTTTATTTTGAAATATTTTACGTCATTTAATTTATTATTATTATTATTGTTATATTATTATTATTATTTTTTATTTTTTTATCAAAACATGAAGATTTTACGTTTTTCTAAGGTAGTGCTCTTGGATTATTGGATATCCGTAGCTCAATCCACTGAATTTTTATATCCGGATTAACTCGGGTTATTTGAAATGACTCGGTAATGATCTTTTAAACGGGTGAGTAACCCGGAGCCTAAATTGTCAAATTTATCAAATTTTGGGGGTATTTCATAAATGCGCCGTAATGTTAGCTTTAGTAACTTCATTCATGATAGTAGATATCCATGAGAGTTTGCTTTAGTTTCGTTCTATTATCACATAAAAAATATTTCGTTGTATTCTTTTATTAATACATTTTATAAATTTAAATAAAATTTAAATATTTAAGGTCTCAATTATATTTTAATCATACTATAAACATATCCTAGAAAATCATCATAAAGGACTAAAGGGATTTCGTTAAACCAATGATAGAACTATCGATGACGCGAAAAAATAATGATAGGATCATGTGTACCATGGTTGCACGAATTTAGAAGCATATTAATCACACGGAAGCTGTTCAAAAATTTCAGACCAAGAATTATTCCAAATTTCTATAATATCAGCAACAGAATCGGAGTTATTTATTAAAGATTCTTTAGAAGTAATAGAATTTAAACGAGATTTCCGATTGGCATAATACTTTCGATTAATTTTATGCCTATTCAAATAATTATTACTGGCACATTTAGAACATTTCCGAGTATGAGGTGGACATTTAATTTCACAATCTCCCTTACAAGTGTAAAGCTCAATTTTACTACCATCACATTCATTACAAAAACAAGCAGCAAAAGAGCCGTAATCAAGAAAAAGACCGTGGGGTCCTTTAGTAATATCAGGAATTTCGGAATTGACGTGCAAAAAAGAACCCTGGAAAAACCCAACTTTTTCGGAAGATTTTGGAAGTAAATTAAGGGTAGAGTGTATGCTGACCATTTTTATAATTAAACAAAAGCCCAACAAAAAAAAACTATTTTGAATATTTTAAGTTCGAATTTTTATTTTGAACCAAGAAATTTATTAATATTTATATGTTGCGGGGTTAAATTGTTTTTGCAAATTTTTCGATCAAATAATTTGATGTATTTATACTGTATTCGAAAACAAGTCACATGTCAAATGATACACATACACTTATTATTATTAAACTTTGTATCGAAAATTTCTTGTTGGAAGACCAAATTACAACACCTAAATTTAGAAATTCAGCCTTTCAGCGGGGATTAGCATATATAAAAAACATAATATGCAAAGTAAACGTGATTATTTGTGCGAAGTTCAACTCTCCGGGGTCAGCTTTATCGATACGAATAATAAATTACAAACGCAAACTAGCGCTAGTTATTCGTAAAGGAACGAATTTGATTAATGATCGGCGGGGTGCGTTTCATATAATCTGGAGCCAATTGCAAAATTTCTCAATTTCTGTCAAGTTAACATCTTTTGAGTTTCTAATATAAATTTTAGAGGAAACTTTTCTCTTTCTAATGGTGGTAAAATTATCAAAATCGACCCGATAGATCGCAAGATATTGTTATTTTCGTATTGCGATCATATGACAGATTTACAAAGAAATCTCATATGATCGCAAGACGAAAATAACAATATCTCGCGATCTATTGGGTCAATTTTAATAATTTTACCACCGTTAGAAAGAGAAAAATTTCTTTCGCAATTTTTATTAATTTTTATTAGAAACTCAAAAGATGTTAACTTGACAGAAATCGAGAAATTTTAAAATTGGCTCCAAAACCAAAACGACTATCCGATAAAGAAATGCGGCAATTACTAACCAATTTAATAAAAGAAGCTGACAAGTCTCCAGAAGAGAAAGGCAGTTTCAGATTATGGGTACTTAATTGTTTTGATATGAAATACGTACACCCCGCTGATCATTAATCAAATTCTTTCCAGATTGCTGATACATTTACTAATTTTCGCCTAACTTTTCTGCATTATTGATTGGTCGCAGGTAAATATCACCCTTGATTGGACAAGACAATAACGTCATACCTTTCCGCCTTTAAAGTCTCCGATAATCTTAAGTTTACGATTTACGTTGCAGATGATAATCTTACTTATTTATTGTTCACGACTAGAGTTTGGAACCGAATTTATTTTTTAAATCCGGATTTATTTAATTAGTGATCTTCAGCTTCGGATTTAAATCCGGATTGTTAAAT